CGTGAATGTTTGGCCGTATAGAAACATCGCAGTGCTTGAAATAATATTCGCATTCTTTATAATTGTATGCAACAGCATTTTTCGTCTACAATAAATTCAGGTTTTGTTTTCCAAATAATTTCAATTGATATCAGTTAATGAAGAAAAATGATAAACGGCTAAATGTTTGTTGGAACTGGTCTACACAGTTTTCCACGCAGTCATTTTCTGCAATCTGCAGTCATGCTTCATTCAGTGGGAAACCAGGTCGCAGCGGTGCTTAAATGTAAGAGAAGTACGACATCGTGGTAGAAAAAAATTTAAAGCAAACCTCCTAATAAAACTATCTTACAAAAATATTCTAATGTAATAGTTATACCTTATATTTTGTTATAAATGTACAGCTATTTCACTGCGTAAATCTGTCAACGGTAATATTAATTGCCTGAATATTAGTTATAACTGACTATTGTTTGTGAAATATAAGTTATAAATCACGATAATTAATTTAAGGATAAAATTTAATTTTGATTACAGCACTTCCACTTTTAGCTGCACTCTTGTTTCCATTTCAAACAGCAGGATAGCGGATCTGTTGCCAATCTAGAGAAACTTAGCTTCGCAACAACAAAGATAACGCCTTCATTTATTATTTAAATCATGCTTAATCCTTTCTGGAATTTTTTCGAGGAAATGAGCGTTTAAGATTTACTTTGTAATTTTTAATACAGATATTTTGAGTTTTTATGCATTTTTGCCTGGTCGCGAAGTGAATACTGAATTAATTGAATGAGAAATACTTAATCGTCTGTGAAAAACTTTTTTTTTTTTTTTGTTTGCTTAATTTCTTTTATACATCGTTCTAGCTTTGTTATAGTATTTGAATAGAACATGTGGCGAAGATTAGATAATTCTTTAAATGATATAAATTTTGTGCATTCTGAGTTATAATATGAACGAAATATAATACTGTTAAGTAAACCTAGCGCCAGAGTGTCGCTATGGTAAACAAAGTGAATTTTAAAGAATGCATTTATTCTATTGTGGTTTATGCGCTGTCGGCGAAATAGGTTTAATTCAATCTAATAAGTTCAAAAGAAATGCAAGAAAAAATGCGTATAATTTAATATTCCGTGGTGTACACATCAGATTTTTTTAATTCTATAAAACAGTTGCTAAGATATTAAAATATTAATGACCTATATACATTTTGAAATTAATCGAATACATATTGTTGAGCCTATAAAAGAAATTAACCCTTCGTAAAATAAATACATGCTTCTGTTATAATTTCTATTTTGTTTAACTTCACTTTAGAATTTACTAAGCAGTGAAAAAGAGTAAATCAGGTGTTGCTGCTTTAAGTAGTTTCGCTCTCCTTTCCCGAGTTATTAAAAATGAAATGAAACAAAATCAACATTAGCACAACTCGGATTAAAAAATTTTTAATCAACTCACAATATCACATAAATAAATCAGAAAAAAAAGCGCGTATCGAACTTAATAATTTGCTTTGGAACATGTAAATGAATTTGACATGATTCATAATTCACATACATATATAAAAAAAGTTATTAATTTTTGATTCGCATTTTATCTGTCAAAAGAACATATACATTTTTTATTATTTATGCGATTTTATAATAATGATGGTCTCATAATAGCATTAAATAAATAAATATATGAGCAAATAATAATTTATTTATTCGAATGCTCTCACAATATTTATTATTTATCCTCCTCTGAATCTAATTTTATTTTTTGATCAAAGCGTGCATATTTTATTTGTGAAATGGAAAAATGTAATGTGTTAAAACTATCTTAAGTTTAATTATTTATAAAACTATTCAAAGCGCTGTTATTCTCTTACGCAGACATTTCCAGATGATCGTTGGCCAACATTTGGAAACTAATTATTGGGAAATCGTAGTATTTTGCCTTTTCTGAAATATCTAAAAATTAAAACAATACAAAATGATTTTAGTCATAAACTGGAAGATACGAAAAAGCTGCTTTTTTGAAACTGGCGAATTAAATTTTGGCTTTTAGTAATTATGACGCTTGGAATGGCGATTCATGATAATTGCGCAGAAGCTTATTTTGCTGACATCAGCGAGGTTCAGTTTTAAAATGATTGTCTTTCATATAGCACAAAACAGTTACAGCGCGCATCTGAAATTAATTACAAAGCAGATTTTTCTTTCTTCAATATTTTCGCATTTTGCTGTTTAACTGCTAAAATCCTTCGTATGTTTAGCGATTTGGTATATTTACAATTGTTCAATGTAACTTCTCCCCATTTATAAATATTAGTCCTATGACTTTCAGTCATAGAATAAATGCTCAAAATTAAACCAATTTACAGCTATGAAGTGACCACATTTATTATAGCTCAATATCTTATTTAGGACAAACTAAACGGATTTCGTCATCCTAAGAAAACCACAGCATTCTACATCCGTTAATTGCAGCTCGCTGAAATTGCTGATAATCATGGAAAAGAACGAAGTATTTTAAGGAATTATGTTAAAAAAAAAGAACTCTTTAACAAAAATACTTCTGGTGATATGTTATAATACAATATTTAATTCGAAACTAAATTTATAAATTAGCAGCCCACAGGTATATTTCACTTCACATTTAATATTTAAGTTGTGATCCCATCCGTTTTGAGCATTAAAACAATATCGCAAACGATTTTAAAATGAAATGAATGGCATTATAAATCAAGGCGGATTTACGGGGTCGTTCAAATAAAATTGCAACGGACTGTTTTCCATCTGGTCCTCAGTTCAATAGAGGTGGATTCTTACTTAATAAATCCACCAGTTCACTACTGATTAAAGTATTTAAAATGTTTTACACTGAAAAATTATATTATTCATATTTCTTACGCTTTCATTAAATGTAAAATGTTTTAGCAAAATAGAATTCATAAAGTTCTGTAGCAAGTTTTTGAATAAAAAAAGAAATTATCAGGAAATAATTTAACTAACGATTCTGATTGACTTCGGAAAATTTTAAAGCCTTAGTTCAACCATAAACTGTTGTTTACTATATATACATAAATACCACATTCTGTTATAATATAAAACAACTTAAATGCATGCAAGTGATTTTGTTGTTCTTTCTGATAAATATATCAATTTAGCATTATTTACTATCGCATTTATAGGATTCATAACATTTGAATATTTGAAAAGATATTTATATTCTGTTGCTTTGAATTTTAAAGCAATCACTTGTAATTAAATGTAAAAAATAGATTTTGGATTCCTAGTAATAAGGATGAAAATACATTTATTCAGACCTTCTACCTAAAACTGTGTCATAAAAACATCTAAGTAATAACTTTTACCCTTCCCAAGCTCGAATTATGAAAAAAAGAAAGCTATTTGTTAGTCTCTTTACAAAGAAATCAAAGTCCATTTCATATGATAATTTATAAAGCAGATTTAATTCGTCAATGCCAAAGCCTGTTACAGGAAACATCTTATATATTTCCGAATCCTGTCACAGAAAACGTCTTGCACATGAATAATTTTCAGTATAAGAAAACAGAAATAAAATTTTTGACTATTTTGTACATGGACTATAACATACTACCCCAAATTATTTTAAAGTTTTAAGCTTAAATGCAGTTTTTACTTAATTTTCATACTAACGCCATAAGCATTAGGATTTAATTTATTTTCCTTACATTTTTCCAAACGTTTTGACGAAATAAATCAAAATTAAAAAATAATTAAATTTGCAAATTATATTGAAGGCATTAGAAAATTAATCGGAATTAAAATTTTAATGTTAACTATGGAAAGGCTTTCATACAAAAGTGAAATAACTTATGCGAACATGAATGAAACTTTTATTGAAATAATAATACATATATATAATTAGATAGGTCACAATGCAAGTTTTGAAAATTTATGTTATTGTATTCTCTTCTAAGAAACTGTAAGAATAAAAAGCAAAACATGTGGCCGCTGATTTGGAACTAATTTGCGATATAAATGGAAAGCAAGGACCTTATCTTTGGCAAGATACAAGACAAATGATGCCATTCATTAGCACCTAATTTATGCTTCTCATTAATAAGGATTATTTGCGCCTAGAACAACATATCGTTTCATTTTATCAAAAGTTTTCAATCCTTAGCAACTAATAGATATTAGTTTAACTGGGCAATCCTTGTCTCGTTCATCATCAAATTAAATTTTCATTTCCCTCCGTAATGTACATACAATTTAAAAGAAAGAAAATTTTTATAAGCATAGTTGTATTTAAACTATTCCTTAGCTAAACAAAAATGTATTTTTATGCGACTTAAGATTGCTTACAGCCAAATCCACAAATTATAAGCGAAATATGGAATCTCGTCATAATCATTGTAACGTTGTAATCGATTGTAAAGTTTCAACGTTTCGTAATCATTACACATTCAAAGAATATTTGAAAATTATTAATATCACAAAAATCTCAGTCTTCAGACTTTCCTCTTAAAGCTGAACTATTCATCTTAAATACTTTCTGAGGCTAGAACTAGGAATTACGATTAGCCTGAGAAAGATAAAAGTATCCTAATGCTTTTCATCAGAAGTATAGTAAGTAAGAAATTCTTGTGATACGATTCTTATGAATTTCACTGCAAATTAAACATGGCACAATTATGCATTGAGAAACTCCAGATAAGTCTATTTGGGCCCTGTGCAGCTTTCTTCCTTCTCTAAAAGCACACACATTTTTAAAATAAATGTAAGTAAATTTCCGTTAAATTATGCTAATAATATCTGGAGAAAGAAGATTTCCTCACCTCATTTCTGAAACAATTTCTTTTAATAAGAACATTTCGAAATCAAAATTAAGCCTTTCATTCAAACTAAAACATGGATGTATCTCCTGTGTCTCATTTTCAGCTAGCAACAAAATTAAAAGCAAAACTCCGGCTGCTTACTTTCATTAAATGCAATAGTGCTTGACCGTAAAATCAACTTAATTCATTTTTTGTATTTCCTGTTGTACAGACGACAACCCTGATCGGCCTTCTGAAAACGGCCCGCCTTCTACGGCTGGTGAGGGTGGCCCGCAAAATTGATCGTTACTCGGAGTATGGGGCCGCTGTACTTCTACTTCTGGTGGCAACTTTCGCGCTGATTGCTCATTGGCTAGCATGCATTTGGTACGCAATAGCGAACGCGGAGCGATCTATGCAGGAACCTAAAATAGGATGGCTGGATGCTTTGGCCAACATGACTCATCAGTATTACAACAATTCTCAAGGAGGACCGAGCATCAAGTCCAAGTATGTCACGGCCCTCTACTTCACCTTCTCCAGTCTGACCAGCGTAGGCTTCGGCAATGTGTCCCCAAACACCAACATGGAGAAGATCTTTGCCATTATAGTCATGCTAGTTGGATGTGAGTATTTTTTCACTTAAATTTATATTAGCATATTATGTTTTTCTTTCTTGTATGATAAAATAAGAAATCGACTGTTGTCATACACAAGCAGTTGGCTATTATACCAATAGTACAGGCTTATTGCATAACTATGGGAGAGAGAAGTTTTCAGCTTGAGGAGTATTATTATGAAGCCTTACTTAATGGTAATTTTCATAGAATTATTTCTTTGCTAACAGCGAGTTATCATACTATCTAAAATTAACTTCTACGTAAGACAGAATAAAAATTTAACAAAATTGTTTATCCACCTCTCACAAAAGCTTACAAATATATAATGTAGAATGCACAACTCAAAAGTATCGATTAACTGCTTGACAATATCATTAAAAAATAATAGTCCTTAAGGGAAAATTGCCCCTTTCGATTAAAAATTAGGCTACCTGTCTTGTAGTATCACTATTTCCATGAACAAATACTCGATAACAACGCTTAATTATTTCTCTTTACTAATCACTTAAAGTGCCTACCATATACGAATTTCGAACGACAGACAAGAAACGCTGCGGCCTCCGACAGATATAGACTGGCTTTGAATTCTCCGAGGCAGCATGATGGGCCTTCACACTGCAGACATGAATTATACTTTACCTTGCTAGATTTTAATCTTTCTTTCGCCTAGCTCTTAATTGCATGTTCTAGTCTGATCAAATGTATATGACCTAAACCAAAGTGAAATTGTGAGAGAGAAAACTGTATCATACCTTCACTTTAGATTGTAGTTAAAACGTTTAGTTAAAAGTTCGCAGAACAGTATTATTTCTGAATCATATGCATCAGATCTACTGGAATTACATTTCGAACTTCTAAATTTCTTTTAAGACATTTCAGTGAAAGTATGTAGCATAGTACTCTTTAAAACTGAATTAAGAAATTAATATCAGTTACGGATAGTTGGTAAAAATGAATTATTATAAACAACAGCAAAAGCATTATTTCTTTTGGTCACGAATTAAAGACAGAAATGGAGCAAAATATGGAATCTGTATTAAAATAAAATATGGAATCTTTGTAAATCTTATATTTTATTTTAATTAAATATGGAATCTTTGTAAATCTTGTGTTTTATTTATTAAAATAAAATATAGAATCTTAGAAACTCTTATATTTTATTTTAATTCTTAGGGAATTCATAGCATATATTAGACAGCGTTGTTTGAGATAAAAGAGCGGTTAAATTTTCATATTAACGATCGCGAATATTATATCCGAAAAGAAAAAAATTAACAAATCTTCGATAGCAAATATTTTTTGGAAATTTAATCATAATTTTGACTTTGGGTCTGCAAAAATTAACCAATTTTTTTTTTAATTCGTGAATTGGATTTCCCTGCAGCGTTTCACATTCACAAAAATTTATCTTCTTTAGTTCCAATTCAGTTCTTCTGAACGTTTTTAAAATGCTATTAACTTAATTTTTCATGTTTCGTTGCTGTTTCTGTGGACAGATGGTACTAACTTTTCTTCGTTTTTATCATTTCCTTTCGGTATAAATATATTCCGTTCTTTACAGCATTTCGTTCCTCCTCATGATGAGGGACCTGCATCTGTTACCATTGAAATTGATAGAATCTTGATTAAAATATACGCTAAACAGAAGGTTGTTGCTTTCCTAATTTTAAAATAGAATTTTATTCAAAAATCTACGCGAATTAAGGTTTTTTTTTTTTTTTTTTGATAATTTAAAATTTTACTGTATTGTTTCTTTTCAATTAGAAGTACAAAAGTTTATTTCCTTACGATATAAAAAGTTAGAGGCTATGAAATTCCAACCACTAAAATCTGGCAATAAATATTTTAAATAATTGAAACAGGAATCCGTAGAATCATAATAAATGGTGAAAACTAACCTGCATTTTGGATCAGTATTAAATAAAATGCCTCAATGCATATTTCAAAAGCAAATTATTCAGCTCCCCAGTAAAGCAAGTCATACTCACATTGTTGCAAACAACGTTGTCAAACAACTGCAGAAGTTTACACGTAGTCTACTTGTTCATATTACATGCACATCGTCTGTTAAACAACATATTTATTCCTGTGAGAAATTGGAAAAATGTATGCAAAATGCTACCGTGCTGAGAAATCGATAACTATTATGAAAAGATTTTTGACTGTCACAGCATTAGTAAGAAACTGTCCTGAGAGAAGTATGAACTGCATCAAATTGATAGAATATCTACAAAATAAACTAGTAACTGAGCAGGAAGCTCTATCACTATAGTTGGTGAAGATGTTGGATCTTTTTAAGATGACACTAGAATGAGCATTATTATGAAAAGCTATGATTATCTTTACTTTTTCTACTAAAGTGTATTTAATAAAAGCCTTCTCGTTATTTCTATGCAGGTTTTTCAATAAACCGCTACTTTCGGATGGTATATCTTTAACACTTTATGAAGTATAAATCATACGAATCTGATTACTATACGAATCATCTCACTGATTACTATTCCATAGACTAATAATATTATTGCACATACTACTAAGAGTATCCTTCTTACTCTACACTTCTCTTTGAGGAGGAATATGTTTAGTTCAAATGTAAAGAGATAAAGAATTTTACCCATTATACTCAATCGGACGCCAGTACCTTAAACTCCAGTTTAGCAATATGCAATCCTGAATATACAACCTCTTCCTCATTACAATCTGGGAAATTTTTATCACTAACTTCCAGTACACGATGAACTTTCAACTATGAACTTAATGACGTGATCTAATAGCGTTAGACCTATTATCTAATAATATTATACCTAAACTATTAAAAAACTATTATTAAGAGCAATCGAGCAATCAAATATGAGTGGAATGTTCTTAATAGTTTTTGGAAAGTTGATTATTGGTTCTAATCCCAAAGCATGTTGAGAAATTCTAAATCTTCTGCATGAGAAATAAGAGCCTTTCGAGAGAAAATTAGTATGAATTATTTTTAACAAGAACTCTTTGACAAGTGAAGCGATCAAAATGGTTATATTTATTACCAATAACTTTAAAGTTGCAAAGAAAATTTTGAAATTAAGATATTTTCACTTTCGGACTATGTTAAAAAAGCACCGTCGTGTGCATTTTCGTACATAAACAACAAAACGTTCTTTGCATATTCACTCACTTCATATAATCTGCTGATTTAATGCCATATGCAAACTCTTCAATCTTAACATTTGTTTTTCGTATTCTAGCGCTGATGTACGCTAGCATCTTTGGCAATGTATCAGCAATTATTCAGAGGTTGTATTCCGGAACAGCACGTTACCACACTCAACTCCTGCGAGTCAAAGAGTTCATTCGGTTCCATCAGATCCCCAATCCTCTGCGTCAGAGGCTAGAAGAGTATTTCCAACATGCATGGACCTATACGAATGGAATCGATATGAACATGGTGAGTATGTGAAGGTCTAATTACTTACTCCTCAATTTCTCCTATCAGCCTAAGATTCTAAATGTATGTATGCCAGACCATGCTGATAATTACGAGTCATTTAAAAACAAAAGTAAATATAAACAGTATAAATCTGATATCCGGACTCCAGTTATTCAAATAGCTTAATCTCTTTCCTAGACTTGGCGAAAATTAAGTTTGACATTAGTGTATTTAGATGATCTTAATTTTTTATCGTTGAAAGGTACTGAATTTCCACCGCTCTGTTTGATCTTCCCTAGAACTAAGAGAAATAAAGCGCTTAAGTATTTCTCTCTCAGTGAAAAACTCTTATTTATTTACATCATTGTGGTGATAATTTAACTGTCATTCTCACGTTCGATTTAAATGTTTCGATGGAATAAAGAAGGCATGGCAAAAACACAGAATTGTTGAAATCTCGTTGTGATTTCTTAATTTAATTTGGTCAGTGTAAAAATAATTCTTTACTCAATTATGTTTTGTATGGCAGTTCAGCATCTCGTGATTCTTCACCTCACCTGTGACCAAGGAGATAAAGAGAGTTGAATCCTGGTAGTTCGAGCTGAGATCAAACTGCCACGGAAGTTTTCCTATTGCATGAGCTTTTCGTGACTTATGGGTTACAGGAATACAAATAAATGCACATTTTGTAACAAGAATGTGAGTCAGTTTCCAGTTTCTAAGTTTTTAATGTAGAACATAATTCTCACGAAGGCATATTTCTGCTCAGCAAGTAATCGCAGGATCTAGAAGTTTCCTAGTTGCGTTTTGCTTCTTGGACGTTAGAGATAATCATGACATTTTTCATGCTTAGGAATGTTAGAGATGATCATGAGATTTTTGATGCATGAATTTTAGCCCAATATCATCAGGTTCGTTACTGTATAATATTTTCTTCATATATGCATCATTCATTCAGAGAGGGCGTCGGCGTTTCCGTGCAATGTTCCTTTCCGATGAATGATAGTGATATCATATTCCTGGAATGTCTCTATACATCTGCCTTTTTGGCCTTCTTGATTCTTGAAATTTAAAAGCAAGGTCAACGATGCATGATCTGTGCGGAGCAGGAATTTTCTGCTGTAGAGATTGTGGTGGAAATGTTCTATGACTATTGTGGCGAGCACATCTTTCCTGATAGCATAGTAATTCCTCTCCGACTAGATAGATTAGGGTTAGATAGACACTTGCTCCAGTATGCCACGACTTGAATTTTGCTTGATTTGCGGATGATCCGCCGTATCAATTTTATGCTCGGCCAAATTAGTTCGATCAATGTCAAAAGATGTGCGGAAGAAAACATGTTGCAATTCTTGAACAATACATTCTGCAGCACTTCTTTCTTAATTGTGTAGTCTACGGTTACTCCGATGTTAGGCTCTCCGAAGATACAGCGACTGGAGGACTGTTGGTTCGTTTGATGCAGATCACTAGAATACATGCTGCAAACACTCTGCCGCTAATTTTAACATTACCTTATGTTAGCAACACTCACAGAATTAACGGTTCTCGATATGTCGGTGATTGCAGAGGCTATTGCTACTTCTTCCGCGTTATTAAAGTTTTTAGTATGTTCCATCATTCATTTAGTATGTTCCATCATTGTTAGTTCCCATCATCATCGAAAACTTCTGTTTTCATCTATGGACTCGGGTAGTACAAATTCTGTTCTTATTGATACTATGATATCGTCTTAAGCTACTATTTGGTGATTGGTTTTGCCTCGCTTATCTTTTAATTCCGAATAGGGTTATGCCCCCAGAGGCAGATTGCAATTCATTATTTTTAAAGTCTGAGGAAAATTGTATTTCCTTATAAACTCCAATCCGAGTATGCAAGTATCTTTAATATCTGCCACATATGCGTGTGATTGTAGGCGGTACTATCAAATATGATTTTAACGTCCATCGATGTCGATTTTATCCCCCGACGCAGTCTGGAGGATAAAAGAGGGAAAAGGTCAGATAAGTTTACCTTCCAATCGTTGAGTGAGAGCTTTTCGAATGATGTTGACATTGGCTCTTGTATCGATGGCCATATTGCAAGGAACTTCAGTTTTGTGTCCCATGATGACGATGAAGGGCTTTAAAACTTTTGGCAACCCCCGTTCCGTAAGATGGCCGCTAATTAGTTTCCAGGCTCTTTGCTGGGAAGCAATATTAGCTCCCTTCTCTTGAGATTGTTCTGCAGTTCTTTCGTACCTGGCTATCAGCACCGCAGTTCCAGTACTTTAGGATCGGTTGATTGTCACTCATTTCTGGCTTAAGGCACTGAATTGCTTGGTTAAATTGTCTAGACGAGCGTCTGTTGATTCATTGGTTCCTAATCAAAAGCAGCTCTGATTTGTTGGCGTTCTGTACTTGTTGCCTGCTGGTCTACCTCAAATTTCATGATGTAATGTAAGACGATTTTTAGATCCTTGATTTCCGACATTAGCAGGGCTTTCTATACCTCAGAATCCCGGATGTCATTGATTAAGTGCTGCAAGGACAGGATTTCCCTTGTTTCCCATTGATTAAGTGCAGCAGGGACAGGACTTTCCTTGTTTCTGTTGAACAATCCGAAACAACGTCAAGGAATAGCCTTTCCAGGTATGTGGTAAGCTCCTGGAGTGTTTCCGTGGGCTTCATTTGGAGAGATTTCAACTGATGCTTGCTATAGTCTTTTAAACTCTTCTCGCCAAAATGCAGCTCCAATGCGCTGGATATAGCTTCGAAGTCTAGTTTTTGGTTTTCGGATAGTGTTTGAAAGACAACCGCTGTGTGTGCTCCCAGAGAAGCGGCGAGATCGCAAACGTTAGCTTAAGAATTCCATCCATTTGTGTGACAATTCGTGGTTAGCTTTAGAAAGTAACGAGAACATTTAGGTAAAAATTTAAAGTAATGAGAATGGTTCAGCCGTCACCATAGATTTCCTCAAACTGTTAACCTTCTTGGCGACAGTAGAAGAAACTCTGTCATCGAAATAATGTTAGACAGCGGAAACGCTTTCTTCAAGTTCTCCAGTTTAATTTTCTACCGTATCTACCCTGCCTTCCATTGCCTCGAATTTATCTTCTATTATGACAGAGCAGGAAACCACAAAATAAGCAGCTGCACCACCATGACGACTTAACAGCTTAATTGCTTATTGCTTGGGGTCATTATGCTTGGGGTCTGCTATTTGCTATAAATGTTTCAATATTTACATAATAAGGAAAATATTACATATTTTGGTTACATATTGATATCAATAACATAACTATGGCATATAAATAACGTAATAGTTGTTTTTGGTAATACAACAATTACTTTTGATTAAGTAAATGCATAATAAAATCAATTTATGCTGCCTTTAAATTGTTGCAGTTTATTTATAACCAGTTATTAGATTTTGGAGCTTTTGTCTAAGGACGTTACTCTTTATTAGTTATTTGAATCATAGTTTGGCATTTTCTGATGTATATCATTGAAAATGTAAATCTTCCGTTACATCAGATTCAAACATATAATGATCGATCGTTCCTGTAGTTCCCCATGGGCATTTATCTCTGTGAGGTAAATTAAAATGATTTAGATATGATGCAAAAAGATCATGGGCTGTTACAAAGAATGTTATGGTACGGCTAGTTGAGATAAGGTGTCTTGTTGGAGTAGATGTAAATTTAAAGATTCTTCTGCCTGTTTCTTCTTGTGACCATTTTGCTTTCCAGAGAGATAAATAATCTTTTTCTAAACATGATTTTAAATAAGAAATTGGGAAGGTATGGTTTCTCAATTTCTTATTTAAATTTCTGACCTTTATTCTTCTATTATGACAGTAATTACTCTTTAAAATTCTTCTGTAGCTGCTTCAATCTTTTCTGGGACTGACATAAAAGTTCCTACCATTTTTTCTTGGCCCGCTTCCATCTTTACTGGAACTGACTTGACAGCCCTTTCTATCCTTTTTGCAATGCAGCACTGTCACCAGCTGTCTTAATTCTCCATCCATCGTAGTGTCACGGGCATTTAATATCACATTTAACATTGTTACGTGCGCACGAATTCAGAATGAATTGAATGTACACAGAACCGATATAAGCTTGATGAAATTTGTTAAGCAATACTTTATACGCTTGGAACTTTTCACACAGAAGGTATTCGCACAGCTCTTCTCAGTATAACCGCACAATTAGTAATTACTACTTCAAACTACCACTAATGTTGAAAACAAAGCAATACAAAGACTCTAAAATGCATAAACTCGCACGGTGATATTTCAATACTCTGAGTGGACTTTTTTGTGGATGTTTATATACAAAATACCCATTTAGAATGCTCAGTTATTTTATTCTATGAAAACATGTCGATAACTGAATGAAACGATACTAACAAAATTCATATAAGCTCTTTACAAAATCCGTGACTAGGAAATATTTGCGAAATCCAGGACATATCACAGCCTGACACTGCAAAATCATCCCACGCTGTCCCTCACAATCGGATTTATTGTCACTTTAACACTATCTTAAATCTAGAGAACGTTAATCGTACGTCGAATTAATTTATCGTTAATAAAATTAATTAATCGTATGTAAATAAATTAAACTTATAATTTTCAAAAACATGGTGAATTCAAACAGCCATCATTCATATAGAAACGTGCAATCAGGCCAGCATAAAAAATTTAAAAAATCATCAAACGGTCTTCAGAAGGAATGCACCAATACAAAGATTCATGGAAAATTAATTAAATTATATCATCAAACTACATTCAGAGCGATTCACTAAAATCTTGTTCTTGAAAAACCTTTAAATCTCGCGTCCTTTCTCTATACGGAAAACACCTTGATTAAAAAACTAATTACAAGTGTCATCATAGAATATTTTTAGCTTCCAAAAGTTAGGAATATATACTAAATGAATCATCGACTTTATTTAACAAAATGCCACAAATAAACAGTATTTTTTGTAAACCAGCACAAATGAACGGCTTCGGCAAATGAAGCATGATGTGTCCTGAATCATTTGCAGTAGCCTTAATGACTGGAGTTTTCACAGCTAACCACCCTTAGTTAAAATCTCTTTTGGTGGGATTTGCTTTTTTGGGAGTACTTTTTACTTACTTTATTATTATTATTATAAGGGAATAGCTCCGATTCTCGTAGCCAGCATAAGCTAGCGGTATGATAAAAAAAAATAAGACTGACCAGGGAAAACAAAATTTTTTTAATCTGAAATGTTTCAGATTTTAAATTACGTCCAAAGGAGCGTTTTTTTACATTTTGTGTGTTACATTTATTTATTAAATATCACGTTCTTCTCACTTAAACCATAAAATTCAGTTCAACAGCAATATCGAAAAATAGTTTCAAAATGAGCATATAATTTAGAATTTCCGATACAGAGATTCACGCACTGGAGATAAAAGTGTTTTTTTAATTAAATGTTTTTTAAAAATTTTTTTATAACGACGTTGCTATTGCTCGCTTTGAAATCCTTGAGTTTGTTAATCAAAAATTCGTTAAAGTTTTACAAAATATGAAATCGATAATAAAACAAATTCCAAATTTTAAATTTGGTCTTTCACACGCCCATATTCGTAGGAGAATTACATCATTCAAAATTCGATGGCTCTATGTACTGTTGTTTTATAACAAGGCGAGAAAGATACATACATTTATGCAGTTTTTCATTATCTAATTTCTTTAAATATAACACAGGGCGATAATACTTTGTGGCAACAGTTTGAAAAGTGATTCGCCGTTTGTAGTGAATCGACACAAAATCGCCAAAAAAACAATAATCCTTCAGGGACAAAGCCTCTTTGGACTAATAAGAAAAACATATAAAGTTCAGGATATACTTTAGGATACTATATTATTTTTCGTTAAATGGCTACAAAACTCTTGTAGATAAAACCTGGAGAGTTTGCCTTTTACTTCATGTGTTACGTGTCTCTTATTACTTGTCAATTTCTGAAATAATGTCATTTGAAATCCAATTATTTTGAATTGCATTGTATAACAGTAATGGTTTCCTAAAAGAACATGTGCAATCTCATTTAAAATTCCCAGACTTTTTGTAAGACTAATGTCAATGTTTAAGTATCAAGCTTCAACTTTGCCAATTTTTAAGTAGTTAGTGCGTTTAACCCATGTAAAATACTTTAATAAATTCAACTTGTTTTGTTTTTTGATTTGAATTTTCAGACTTTGAAAAATATGGTATATTACATTATTTTTATATCACTAAATATTATTTTTATATCACTAAATAGGTATTACGCAAGGATAAATATTTAAGCAGCTTTTTATTCTTAAAATTTATCTCGATTAAGTGTATTGTATTCCACTGATAATACACAAAAAGTCGTAAACTTTGCTATGCTTCAGAATCTATTTTTATTAATCTATAAGCTAATAGTAATAAGTTTTATTAGTCTATTCCAGGGGTTCTCTAAGTGTGCGCCGCGGAGCCCTGGGGAAACATGAAGTGTAAACAGGGGCGCCGCAAGGCATTTCTATTTACACTTTTACGGATTGTCTCTCAAAAATTGCTGTCTCATTTCACGGAACATCTTTCGAAGTTCACTGAATGGTTTGCAAAATACTTTAAAGAAGAAAATATCTAGAAATATTTGTGAATCCAAAATCTTTTCCATGCTCAAACTCCACCAGAATTCACTTCACAATAAGAAGAGAGTCTCATTGAACTCCCTTGCGACAACAACCTTAAAACAAAATTCGCTTGTTCCGATTTAGTGGAGTTTTGGATAATCATCAAAAATGAATATCCAACTCTAAGTTCAAAAGCTTTAAGGATTCTTATTCCTTTTGCAACATCATATTTATGCTAACCTAGGTTTTCAACTGTAGCTGTAATAAAAAACAAATACCGTTCAAAGATCAACGGGGAACAAAAAATGAGAGTGATAGTGTCAACTCTTATCCCTCGCTTTGAAAAACTTTGTAAAGATAAGCAGTCTCACTGTTCCATTGATTTTTTCCTATTTTTCTTTAATAATAATAAAGAATATTCTTACCAGTTCAATATATATCTACACGAGTTACAGATTTTGGTTGCTTTCATTTCTGTGCCTGGTCACTAGTACCAGTATACAGTGGTATTTAATGAAGTGTTGTGACTTGCTATGACACTATGTAGTTAGCAGGTTGTAAAGCTCAAACCTTGTACAACACTTCGCTGAAGACGACTAGGGCGCCGCGACAAAATATTAAACCTGTAAGTGCATCGCCAACTGAAAATGTTTGGGAGTCCCTGGTCTATTTTATTAATCTATAAGCTTTAGTGAGCTCATTCTTTTTTAAATTTTTGCATTAACTTCTAATTAACATTAATGCTAATTAATATATTAAGTAATTATGATTTTGATTACAGGTGCTAAAAGGTTTCCCCGAGTGCCTCCAAGCAGACATTTGTCTGCATTTGAACCGAAATCTGCTCAATACATGCCCGGCTTTTAAAGGCGCCAGCCCCGGTTGTCTTCGGGCACTATCCATGAAGTTCAAGACGACGCACGCACCACCTGGGGATACTTTAGTCCATAAAGGGGATGTGCTGACGTCGTTGTATTTCATCTCGAGAGGGACCATTGAAATCATCAAGGATGATGTCTTAAGAGCAATACTGGGTAAGAAACACATAAAAGAAATGTGAAGTGTTGGTACATTGAAGAGTTATGACTTTTCTATTAACAAATGGGAAAAGGCGCAGAAAGTCTTAACTGTTAAAGTTTTCATGCAATTATTTTTAAGTAAATTATTTTTTTTCTTTTTTCCCTACTTTTTAAATTTGTTATTTTGAAACAGCTGTCTGATATCAATAAGGCGAATGAAAAGATAATAATACAAACACATCGTAATTACTAAAACGAAAACATTGCTCAAGTTTCGAATAATTTGCTAAAAGTGCATGAAATATTTGTAATGCTGTATTTAAACATTTTCAAGCAAATTTTATAGTATATGGCGTTCGTAATAATACCATGACATCTCGGTGCTCTCGTATCATAGCAGCCACTCGCCCTACGCAGCTAGGATTTCGCAAAACTCAAGCTCGAACGTAAAAGTAAAATGACGCAGTATATACGTATAAAAAGTAGCAATAATACTCATGTTGTTTGCTAAGAACATTTTTAATAATCATTCGAGTGACTATAATCAGCTTCTTCAAGTTGCACCGTTCTATATCGCTTCCAACAGTCTGAATATATCGTTGATCCTTCTTGCAGATATCGAATACTTTCTTTTCTGTTAACGTACTGCATCTGTATTTGAGATTGAACGACAAAGCAAATCTCTCAAAGCTCCAAAAATCCACTGTTGAGGGAGTACTCTGCCACTGATGTTCTTACGTCGAATGAACAAAGTGTTTTCGATTTGAACTATTTCATTTGGACTGCCTATTCGCCCATTGAATCTTTGTGTCAGATGTAGGGAATATTTTCCCCATGTAATTGTTCCAATGAATTGCAGTTTTTCGCACATATTAATCTGTTTTTCACATCATTTGATAGACGTATTCTCCTCCGCCTAAGAATACATAAATCTAATTGCAGTGACCAACGATACTCTGGAACCACTAAACCAATTTGCAACACGGATAAGGACCTTCTTCTTTTTATGATTTTTAACATTTATATCTGAAAATGGTTTTTTTCGTTAACATATAGTTTTCTGTTGTGGCTCTTTTCGTATACTCACTTGTCAAGTAAAAATCTCTTTCTTGAAAATTATATAGTACGTATTAATCCTTTCCAGGTCTTTGGACGTACCAAATTGGATGTATACCGAACCAACTTTTCCAATAAAAATCGAAAGGAGAATATTTTTTCTCATCTTATAGACAAACTATTGTTAGTAATATTAAAATACAAATGCACTGGATGAAATATACACTGTACAGAAATGAAGCACTGTACATGCTACTTCACATAAATGTATTTATGCTATACATATCAAAAAAGGTTTTTCAGCATGCTCTTTAAAGTCTCTGGTCTTTGCTTGGTAATCGATTTTCTTCCCTTGCAAAGTTAGCCGATTTAACAGCATCTTTGTTTTTCACAATGGTAGACACCATCATACTTGGCATACGGTGCACAATACCCGAGTACCAAATAAACATTTTCGCGCCCAAATACGATGCGTATCAAATTAGACGTATTGAAGTGATACTGTATTTATTAAATGTTTTGTTCTTACTAGCATTTCATGTGAAGTATAGTATCTTAGATAGATGCACATTACAAAAGCAACACTACTTTTTTTTTTGTTTCAACAGACAACAGTTGATCGATTTTGAAACGTTAATTTGGTCATCATGCATCGTGGTGCAATTTGTTTTGCTTAAGTATATAAATAATAAATTATTTCCCCTTATATTAATTTTTTCATTTCCTGTTTCCGCTGATGACGATAGTAAAAAAATCAGAGTTCAGGTACTCACGTGAATATTGATTGTGAATTGATTGAAATCACGTGAATTGACCTACTAATACGATTGTTAATCTCAACTTTGTTTTTCAGAATTATCAAATTGTAGAGTTCCGCACTCTTTTTGTACTAAAATGAACGTTGAGGAACCTAGTAAACTTGTTAGCGACTTATCGCTGAGTTCAAACAACTAAGACGTAGACTCGAGAAGGGATAAAATATCCTTTATTTCCGTCAGAATAAGATGAACAGGCTTACAACAAAGCCTCCACTTGGGCTTTAACTCAAAAATAAAAAAATAAAAGCTAACTTAGAATTAACCAAAAGAGTATTATCCGAGTTTAACACAAATCTAACGTGTTAATTTAAACTAGCCGGCGAATATCAAAAGGCGCATAATATACGGCCAAGCCTGAACTCTTCTAGAGAGACTTAGTCCGAAGGCAAACGCGCCGTACTCAAGATTCCTAGCTCTCTTTCTCTCACGAAGTAAGCTGAATCTTTCTTAAATACTACTTCTAACTCAATTGCATTCAAATCGATTCTAAAAACTCATTCTGGTGGGGAATTGTAAGTTGAAACAAGAGTCGATAAGATAGTATATTGAAATAAAAATAACTGTTATAAAATTGAAATATACCTTACAAAATGATTTCAACGCTTTATGTTGCGCTGAACGCTGGTAGTTCGGTCTGGGATTTTATTCCGGCGAACGGACTGGCTGCATGGGCGTTTTCGTGGTTTTCCCCATGTGTGCTAGTTTTCCTTAAAAAGACCTCCACTTTCCGTGTAGTGCCTAAGGAAGGAACACATAATAAGTATTTAAAAAAAAGAAAAAAAATCCTTGATGTTGATAGCATTTATCGATACTGTAGATTTTAGAAAACGCAATTTAGAAAATTTCATCGGCAGGTTTAGACAAATCTGTAAAATGTTTAATGAAGTGCTCACATTTTATCGTATAAAACAATAAATACTTTTTAGAAAATAATTCTACATGAAAAAGTGTCCATGTAGAAGACCAGAATTTAAAATATGAAAAATCTGATTTTTTTCCATTGCTACGTTACTAACTATTTTACCTGCATGACTAATTTATAACACCTTAGCTTTCTCTCATTTATTACTTATCTTCCTAGGCGAATGATGACATTTCCGTATAAAGGTAGATGTTGCTCCTCCGATTTTTGAAAAGTTTTTTATGCAGGAAAGGCACATATTTTTCATAGTCTGAAAAATCTAGAGAGTTTAATTTAAAATCTCCCCTAATCTCAGCTACTAGTTTTGCTTAATTTTAAATTTTACATTAGCGCATTTCCCGAGAAGTTAGATTAAATTATAATTTTACTAATGTTCTTGTATTAAAATATAAACTGCACCTTTGAATGCAGACTTTGACTCCAATAACTTCGGGGATATCACGGCTATTATGGAAATCAATAATCGGCATCATCCATAAATCGATAGCCGTTGTTACTACTGTATTTAAGAAGACTACCCCTGCAGAGACCAAAGTGCTCTAGATAATCAGCAATCGTTTTAGAAAGATTTCACTATTTAAAAGAAAATATCTTTTTAAAAATATGTCTTAAACAAAAATATACATTACATTTTCAGTAAAAATTCCGCGCATACTTTTTCTTTTACTCAAATCAGTATTTATTTTTTTGGCACTAAATAGGCCTCTAACAAGGAAAAAGTATATTAGCGAGAAATTCCTCGAATTTTATTTTTAGTACTAAACAAGTACAAATTTTGTAGTTTTTTTCTTGAGAAGTGTTTAATATTTCGTCAGAAAATATAATAAAGTTTTTATTAATAAGTCCGCTAAAATGTCTGATAAAATTGCATATTTATTGATATGCTCACTGAAGGAAAATAAAATCCCAACACCAAAAAGAAGTTTAACTACATAACCGAAATTTGAAAGGAGTGTTTGCACATCTGTAAAATTATTTCTGCGCACTAGACGAATAAGTGTTTCGCTATTAGCACCACTATGAACTTGAAAATAACGTTTGCTTTAAATACACTACGTAAAACTTCTTGCGCTTAATTAACTTCTGGAATGAGCGTTGTTTGTCAAGAGTGGACGTTGAGAGATTTGAGTTAAGAATATCTTATTGGAGATTAAAACGTCAGTAACAGCAGCTTGCTGAATTTGAAAGTGGCCGTGTAATAGAACTACGAGAAGGTGGATTTTCATTTCGTTATATTGACGACATTGCAGTGATAAGAATCTGCTGAGATGTATCCGCTGTAGATGCGTGTTGACAGCAGTGGTCACGGGAATGTACTCTCTTGAGAAAGCCAAATTCTGGGAGCACATGTGCCACCACTCAAAAGGAAAGACCGCTGTATTTACTGTGTTCATGTCTGAAGCTTATTTCATCTTCAGCAAACATGCGAGCTTTTTTGGCACTAGTGTGATACAGCGAAATGTAAAAAATCGATTACTTAAGGAACACCTAATAGCCAGACACCCTGTAGCAGTCATACTACTAACTCCAAATTACAGCCATCTGTGACATAAGTGGTCTCGAGCTAGAGCTCATTTGAGAGAGGAGTAGAATTCTATTGTGAAAGCTGTTTCTGTTTTTGGTGCCAGTGACGGCCGTATGTTGGTCAAAAGGAGGCCAGGTGGGCATTTGAAACCAAGCTGTCAATGGCGTAGACACATTGGACCTACGCTACGAGTTATGCTCTGGGGAGCAATTTCCAGTGGCAACAGGAGTACTCTCGCTGTTACCCCACACACCTTGACCACAGATTCATACTTCAGACTATCGAATGCACAGAGTGTTCTGCCACTCTTCAACTTGTGTTACAGAAAGCATTTTATAACATGATAATATTTGTCCCCCCTCCTTTGCTATCAGTCTACAGATATGTACATCAACCTACGGAAAGCGTGTCGACATGTTGACCTGACCTACGAGGTCGTCCGATCTTTCTTCCATCGAACATGTATGAGACTTGATTGGACAACAAATGAAGCAAAATCCGCATCCAGCATGCACTGTTGCTGATTTGACGGAACAGGTATCGAACGTCATCCCACAAAATGGCATACGACATTTGCGCGACACAATGCATGCACGTTTGCATAAACGTCGTGATTCAACCTTGCTCAGCACTGTGATTACTACAGAAGTTATTAATGTACCACCATTTCACATTTCAAATGGCTCTTCCTGCG